CACACACACACACACACACACACACACACACACACACACACACACACACTCACACACACACACACGGTATATTCAGTGAGTTTGTTGATTAGATGAGTAGATTCCTGGGCAATACCCCAGAGGCACTGGGAGACCCACGTTCCTTCCAGGCTCATTTACCCACTCCCTCTTTGTGCTCAAACTCTCACCGACTGTCCTAATCTCCATGGCACCTAGTTCCCGCGTTACATTTCCTCCTTTGCCCTCAGCACAGGGCTGTGCCTGGCTTGCAGGGCTGCAGTTCTTGATCCCAGAGCTTTTAATCCTAACCTGCCAGGGACAGGGCTGGCTTCGTGGGTGAACAGGCTTTGCAGCCACATGAGGCCCCATGCCCAGAAGAACCCTGTACTTGGTTGATGCTCTTCTGTTGCTCTCTTGAAATTACAATTTTCTAAAAAGGGGCCCTGCATTTTCACTTTGTACTGGGCCCCACAAATTATGTAGCTGGTCCTGGCCAGAGATACCAGAGCTCGCCCACCCAGAACCCTACTATATATATATTTTAAATTTATTTATTATCTTATTTACATTCTATGATGTTGTTGGGAGGGGGGAGAGAGAAAAGGGGAAGGAAATAGGATGGAAGGAGGAAGGAGAAGGGGTGGGATTGAGGCCTGTGCCCCCCTCATTCCCACAGGAGAGACCAGGGGGCTTCCAGCAGTGGCTCAGTCATTGCCAGGCTGGGTGCAGATGTCAGGGGTGTGTGGCTGAAGTCCTAGCCTTCCACCACCCCAACTCAGGAGCCTGGGGCACTTGTGGCAGCTTAGTCTTTGCTGGGCTGGTTTCATGTTGAGAGCCTGGGGCACTTCCTGCTGCAGCTGGGTGGTCCTTGCTGGGCTAGATGTGTGTTGGTGGGGGTGAGGGGGAGTGAGGGGTGCGGGGGTGGGGTGGGGTGGCTGAGGCCCTCAGTCCCCCATGGCCCCAGCCCAGGAGAGCTGGGGCGCTTCCTGCAGAGGCTCAGTAGTCATCACTGGGTCTGGCCAAGGCCTGAGGCCCCCACCCTTGGAACTGGTTGTGGGTGTCAGGGGGCATGGCTGAGGCCCCTAGCCCTCTCCCCTCTCTGGCTTGGTAGCCCAGGGGACTTCGGTCCTTCTAGGTGTTATAGGTGTTCTTTGGTGATGTGAGACCTTTACTAGTTAACATCAAACTTTGTCTATAGTTATGAGTATTTTGTTTTTTCTTTCAGTTCTGTGTTGGGTTATTTGCTGTTCCCACCACTTAAACTCTGCACTGGAACTAATTTGTTGTCCTTTTCTTACTTCTAAAATGGGGGAACTTCCTGTGGGGACCAGCACTTGAGCTCTGTGGTTGAGCTAAATTGCTGCTTTGCTGCTAATTCCCTGGGAAAGGCTTTTTGTGCATCTCAGGTTTTAATGGCTGACTTTATAGGTACTTCCAGCTCTTGTAAGATCTGGTGCACCTGAGTTGTGAAGAAACTCTGGTTTGGGCCTGAGTCTTTTCATCAAGCTACACCCCATGCGATTCTATTTTCCTGACCAGTCTCCTCTGAGTGGTCCTACGCTAATTGGGGGGTAGATCAGCTGTCCTTGCTGTGCCCCAGTGTTTCCCCAGTGGGCCTGTTTCCCCCACCACCCATGCTCCAAACACTTCCCGTGGGACGGGCCATGCGCTGGTCCCTTGCAATAACTCACCGGCCTCTGAGTAGCTCCTTTTGTCAGTTGTTGTGGCTCTTCACTCCTATGTGGGTCCACAGGAACCTTATTAGAGGTCTTGCTGGCCTGGGGAACACCAACGCCCTCTTCTCCCCTGTCACCTCCAAGCAACTCCATCCGAAGGACACAGCTGTGGCTTTTTGCCAGCTCCTGCTCCCTGCGCTCTGCAGCTCCAGCCTGGAAGCAGCTGGGAGTTGAAATGGTCGGAGCGGTTCTTTCTCTCTCTCATTGTGGCTTCTCCCACCATCATGCACTCTGTAGGTCTCTCCTGCTCTTCCCCTCAGCTCTAGCAGCCCCAGCTTAGCTGTTATTGCTTTTTAATAAGTTGTAAATTGGTTGATTTGTAGGAGAGTAATACTGGGGACCGTCTGTCATCTTGACCAGAACCCTACCATATTTCAAATAATGAAGGTTGAGTTCCAGGTCGAGCCCTATTTCCAGGATGGCAAATTGTTGCTTTAATCACTACTTCCTCTCCTAGGCCATAGCAGATCATGCAAATACACCCTAGCTGTCCTTGCTGGGTGTTGATGCTGTTTTGGTGTCTGGTGTCCCATCCCAATCACCTTGCAGGAAGGAGAATGGAGCCCCCTAACCTGGGAATTTACTCCACCTCCTGAAACAATGACTGACTGATGCAAGGTTCAAAAGGCTGGTTCGATTCTTCAGTGTGGCTTATGGCCCAGAGCCCTTCCCCTGTGGTTCAGGCCCAGGCCAGGCTGACACTCTGTCCCTGCTCAGCATTTTTCCTCTACGTCTCCTGCTTCGCTCCTTCTTTTACAGGTTTTTCTTGAAGTGCACTTCCTCAAAAAAAATCACCTTTCCTGGAAATTTACCCTGAGGAAAAATTTTAAAAAATGAAAGTCACCTAATGCATGTCTGATGGTCTAAGATGGTTGAACTTCAGAATCTTTCTCAACACAGAGCACCAGATTCTCAAAATAGTAAGATCTACCACTTGGTCTATTACAAGCTTATTTTAAGTCACTCAAACCCTCTGGTGACAGATAAAATAGTCCGTGAAGGCATTCCAGTTCAGAGCTGCCCCAGCCACACTCCCTTGCCCACCTGCCAAGCCAATCCCAACAGGGGAGGAAGTCAGACCACAGGACAGAAATGACCAACATCCTGCTCAAAGGAAAAGCACTTAGAACCATGCTAGTCTCTCTCATTTTATTATAGGACATGTTGGGGACAGGGGAGGGAAGTGGCAGAGGGGTAACAAGAGGGCAGCTGGGAGGTCAGGCAGAGGCATCAGATATTCAGAAAGCCCAAGCAATCAGCCCCTTACCTGGGGCCAGGATTGCTCGATATGGAATTGGCCCTCTCAGAGCAGTAGAAAGGAAGAAACTTCTGGGGTGGGGAGGCCCAGGGGATGGGCAAGGCTACCCACACCTGACAAGATGGTGGCAGCACTGAGATAGGCTCAGGTGCCCTCCCTCCCTGTAAGGGGCACAGAAGCACTGCCTCCCAGAGAGACACAGAGAACCTGGCTGAGCTCACTGGCTCATGCCACATCTGGTCTGGAGTTCAGAGGGGAATGAGACATTCTGCTCTGAAAGGCTTTCATTTCCACCTCGGGGAAGACAGGCAGGGGAGAGAGACAGGAGTGCAGTGCTAAACAAAACACCCCAGATCAAGACGCAGGCTCTGCAGTCACATGTGGGTTTGCATCCCAACTCTACCACTCCAGTGATCCTAGGCAAGTCACTCCCCTTCCCTGAGACTCAAGTTTCTTCATTTGCAAAATGGGAACAATTACATCCATTTGTTCCATTGTGAGATAAGAAGATACATGTCATCTTAGAAAAGTTCCTCAGAGAGGGCTCTTGGTAGCTGGCTGCTGTTACCACTCCTGATACAAACCTGGGAATGAGACTGGCTCATGAGGAAGGCAGAGCTCAGCGATGGGGCCTGGGAGTGTGTGCGAGGAAATGCCTCCTTCCTCTGCCAGGTTGAAGAGGCAACCCCTGGTGAGGCGAGGGCACAAGGGAGAGAATTGAGGGCAGGGGTGGGGTGGGGACAGGCCTACTTCTAGGCCTTGATGAAAGAAAGTCTGAGGGCGCCTTATGGGCCGAGTGGGGGACAGGATGGATGTTCTGAGGACGGTTCTTAAAAAGCTGGAAGAGGGGAAGGAAGAGAGGAGTGTTGCTTCCCATACGTGCAACTGCAAAGACATCAAGCTGGACCCTTGTAGGATTTCAGATCCAGCCGTCATGGGGCTGCTGCTGGGGGAAGCCACTGTCTCTTTCTTTCTCCTCAGCACTGGGGTTATAAAAAAATACCTACAAACCATGAGAAAGTTCACATAAAAACACTTTTCTGAATGTATAAAAAAAGAGACTGGCCATAGTCAGTGGCTCAGGACATGGACCAAAGCCCCTAGAGAGGCCAAGGAGAGTCAGTGGCCACCCAGTGGTGGATGAGGTGGTCTGGGGTACCCAGGGTGGCAGAACAGTGCCAGCTCTGGTGGAGGCTGTGTTCTTTGGCCAGGCTATACTATGGAGTCGAGGTCTGAAGGGCAGGTGGTGTTATAGGGTCACTGGCTCCCTGTGCTGGGCTAGGCAGTGGACGTGCCTTGGCCCCGGACCTCAGGGACCCCCTTGCTAAAGATAGAAGCCCCAGACAGCCGGCCCCCAGCAAGTCCTGAGACAGGTTCCAGGGACTTATCCTTAGGTCAGTTGAGTGGTCTGAGGAACTGGGGTTTGGGGGGCAGCAGAGAGTACAGTATGATTTCCACTTCTGAAGGAGGGTTCTGCCCAGAGGCTCCCGAAGGCTGTCTCCAGCTGAGACTGTCCAGCTGGGGACAACAGGTACAGGAGGGCAGCCTGGGGTATGGCCAGAAAGAAGGCTCCAGATGGACAGGAGTGCTGCCTTGGCAGCCTGGCCCCCAGGGTGGGGACTCCTTAATGTTTCCTTCAGGAAGGGGGTGAAAGCAAGGAGGGGGGTGGCCTCGTCTTCCTGGCCCTCTTCTCCCTATTCTTTACCCCACAAGGGCCTGGACTGTGTGACTGGGTGGGTTGAGGTCCAGGCAGATCACCCTAGGCCCTGTTCTGGGGGGTCCCAAGCAGCTTCTGGAGCCAGGTGGGCAGGGAAGGGCTGATGGTGGCAGATGGAGCTAGAGGTTCATCCACCCAGGCAGCCCAAGGCACCCCCTCGTCTACCCACCATCACTGAGGCAAAGCTAGGGTGGCCATCTTCAGTTGACCTTGGACCCTGCAAGGCAGGCTGGAGTGGGGTGGGGTGGGGAGTGTCTGAAGTCTGCAGTCTGAGATGGGCCGAGGACCTCTCCGGCTCTGGGGCGTGAGAGGCCTGGGCACACTAGGGCTGGAGGAGGGGCAGCCCACGCCGGAGTCCCTCCTTCAGGAACTGCATGTAGGTGGCTGTGGATGGGTCTTCAAACGTGGACGAGAAGCTGAAGATGTTGTTCTCGACATCCTCGGGCTTCATGGAGGTGATGTCCAGGAAGTAGTTGGCATTGATGTGGTGGACCTGGGGGAAGGGCCGGGTGAGGGCAGCGGGGCGAGGGGCCCCAGGCTCGGTGCGCCCTGCCTGCCTGCTCATGCTGTCTCGGGCGAGGTGGCCACAGCCAGGCCGGGCAGCCAGCAGCCGCTCTGCCCTCCTGCCTCTGCTCACACAGCACTTCTGACCACAGCTGCCCTCCCCCCGTCTGCTAGGGGAGAACCCAGTGCCTTTAACACCACCTTTTCCACTAGCTCTCTGCCCGCCACCCCCTAAATGGCCTCCTCTCCTGTTCCCGTGACCCCTGCACTCCATACTCGCTTCTATCAAAATGCCACCACACCCGATGGGCCTGTCTTCCATCTGCCTCTCACCCCAGCTAGCGAGCTTGCTAAGGGCAGGGCCGTGTCTTTCTCTGTGTGCAAAGAGCCAGACACAGAGTAGGCACCCAGTAAGTGAACAAACCAGCAAACGATGGGCACACAAACACCAACAGACGAGTGAAAGAATGCATGCCAGACGGAGTTCCCCAAGCACAGTCCTGTTTGCTCATCTCTGTGACCCCAGGGCCCTGGCCTGGCTCCGCCACGGTGGGAAACAGTGATGTGTGGGAGCTGCGTGGCTCTCCCCCAGGCCTCTCCTCCCCTTGATCTCTGGCACCTTGGAGCCGCTCTCATCACCCTGAGCCTGGGACAGCAGAAGCCTCCTGCCTGGTGCCCTCTCCTCTCCACCAAGCCCTTACTGGGTGCCTCTTCCACCAGCCCCAGCTCCTGGCTCGCCCCTGCCCCAAGATCCTGAGGAAGCCAACCACCCTCCTACAGCCCTGAATCCCACTCTAACCCCATCCCTTGGGACTTAAAGGATAAGGGGTATCTTCAAGCAGAAGAGCTGGAGATTCTGAGGCTCGCAGGCAGGCTAGCTTCAAAACCAGCTGCACTCCTTAATTGTCTGCAACTTTCACCAAGTCTCTGAACCTTTCCAGTCTCACCTTCCTTGTTTGTGAAATGGGCATTCGTGATCATCTGTCTCCCAAAGCCCTTGTGAGGGCCTGATGAGAGAATGTGGGGAGTGTGGGGTAAGGGGCCCTCAGGGAGAGGGAGGGTCTTGAACCTGGGATCAGGCCAGGGCCCTCCCATGGTCCTCTCTGTATGTCACAAGTCCTGGTTCTTCCTTCCCCTTCCATCCCAGGGCTGGCTACGATGGTGAGCCTTTCCTTCCAGGCCATGTTTCTGTTCCCTGAACCTTGTCTGTTTCACTCGGGACATGATGACTTTGCCACAAGACTTTGCTCACTGTTGCATAGTCCCCAAATTGCTGGTGAGGTCCCCCTTCTCACAGGAGTGTCCCCACCCCTGCATCAGAATTCCAATTTTATAGATAGGTTTAACTGAGGCTCGGACTGTTAAGAGATTAGCTCAAGTTTTTGCAGCCAGGAGGTGGGAGAGCCAGACCCGAAGCCTGGTGGGGCCTGCACGTCTGTGCCCCTGCTTGCTGCTCCCTCAGCCTGGCCCCGTGGGTCTGGATGGTGGGGGCGCCTACCACGGTGCCATTGGGCAGGCAGATCATCATCTCCACAGGGAAGCTGTACTTCTCTAGGTGCAGGCCAGCCAGCTTCTTGTGGGATAGGTTCTCCTGGTTGTTCTGTGGGGACAGGCGGGCATGGTCCATATACCTTGGTCTCCAGCATTGTCCCAGGGGCTCCCCTGGGGCTGTTTCTGCCCATCCACCTGCTCACCTGCAGGTCCTCCAGCTCCTTTACCAGGGACCAGGTGCTGATGAAGCTCTCGTTGAGGAGAGTGAGAATGGGCGAACTTTCCAGGACAGTCTCCCGGAGAGTTCGCCCTGAACCTGTTCAGAGAGAGGCCAAGGCCAGAAGAGTGAGGCACCCCCATGTCTTACTGGGGTTTTCAATCAGCAATAATCTTGCTTTGGGTTTTACAGCCCTCAGGGGCAGTAGAATGGTACCTGCACCCAGGTGAGATAACAGATTCAAAGAACCTGCCACAGAGTAGGTGCTGAATAAACGGTAAGTGAAATCAACATCAATACCAAACTGGCATTGTGGGCTGAGATTTGGGGTGGGGTTCTACGCAGCCCAGGGACTTGGAGAGAGTGACAGCTTCTTAAATTCACGGAACTCTCTGTGCCCTAGAACCCTCTTCTTACTGCCATTTGACAAACGCCTACTCATCCTTCAGAGTCTCAGCTGACATGTCACTTTCTCTAAGAAGGCTTCCTTGACCCCCAGTTACACACGCTCACGCCTCTCTGGACCTTGCCCTGTATAACACCCCCCACGTTGCACGTACTCAGCGTCCGCCTTCTCTACATTGTGTGCCCCGAGGGCAGGGGCCCTGTTGGCTCCCCCACGGCTGGATGCCAGCACCTGACCTAGCACCTGGCACAGTAGGTGCCCAGAATGTCTGTTGATTGACTGGATGAAGGCGGAGGTTGTTTTACTCATCTCTGTGCCCACTGCTGGACACCTAAAGAACTTTGTATCCAGCAGGTCTTCAGTAAACTTTCTGAATTCAAGCCCAGCCTCTGGCACTATCCTCTTTCACTTGTATGTGATGCTTTACAGAGCACAAGCTACTCTCACATCCATTTTCACAACTCTGGGTGGTGTGTTGTACCCTTGTCACTGTTGAGAACACTGAGGCTCAGGGAGGGGAAGTCACTTGGTCTAGGTCACCAAGTGAACATGGCTGAGTTGGAACCCAGTCTGCCAGGTCCTTTCTTCTGCACCTGGAAGCTTCCTCTGGGTTCAGTACAGAACCCCCCCATGTCCTCACCCCACACCCCTGCCCAGGGTGGTCCTCAAGTCCCTCATGGCTCCAACAGGAAAGTCCCATTGGCCTCAGAGCCCCTGTACCCTACAAGACATGAACTTGCCCCCCACTTTGCCCTCAGAACAAGTTGGGCCTCCCTCACCTCAGCAGGACTGGTCGTCCAGGGCCCCCCACAGCAGGATCGAGTGCACCAGCTTGTTCTCAGCCTTGGCTCGCTCGAAGGCCTCAGTGAATGGTAGGTAGGTGACCTGGGGCCAAGCCGAGACAGAGCGAAGCTACTGTGTGCAGCCAGTGCCCCATTCAGAGGCTGTGTGCAGTGTGTGTCCGTGCATGTATGTGTGAGTTTGTGTGGGATGTGTGTGTACATATGTGGTGTGGATGTGAATTTGTGTTGTGTGTAGGTAGGTAAGCACGTGTGTGTGTGTGTGTGTGTGTGTGTGTGTGTACATACGTGGGGGGGGTGTGCGAACGGGGTGCTGCTGCTGAGCCAGGGGATGCCTCCTCCAAGTTCTGAATGGCAAATGGGAGGCTGCCGTGGGCGCAGTGGGCCCCACAAGGATACAGCTGCAGCAGCAAGCCCTGTGCGTGGGCCTGTGCCTGTGCCGCCTGCTGCTGCCAGCCCCCTGCCCCTAGCCCCTGCCTATGGAGCCTGACCCTGGCCTTCACTCCTGCCCAGCCTCACCTTCTTGAAGGGGTACATGGCTACCTCCAGGTGCCGAGCCGCCTCCTCCCAGCTCAGCTCCTGCTGCCACTTGATCTCCTCGAACACAAACTGGAGGGGCTCCCCCGAAGGCAGGCGGCTGTCGATCATGTTGCCGTCCTCGTCCAGGATCACGGAGGGCACTGAGGGGCCCGTGGCTTCCAGCTCCATCTGGGCCAGAGGTCAGCACTGAGGGATGTCTCAGAGATGGGCAAGAATCCTCAAGGGGCCCTGAGAGTTCCTTAAGGATACTCTATTCATTACAGAGGTGGGGAGAGAAGGCCCAGGGAAGGGCAGGGCCTTGATCAGGGCTAAGCAGTGAGTCCAGGACAGAGCAGCCAGGGCTCTTTCCTCTGCATGATGCTGTCACGAATGCCACACCGGGCACTGTGTGTAGGAACAGGTGGTTTGGGTATGGTTGGCCTCAGCATGCCAGGAGCTCTGTCCTCACTCTGGACTGTCCTGAGGCTCCTACCTAGCTGGGATCTCCCTGGCAGCCAGGATGAGAGGCCTGGTGGCAGGGCCCTGTGCTGGAGCCCCACCTCCCTACATGTGTGCTCACCTGGGGTATGTAGCCGATGTCCACCTCCATGTTGCTGCTCTCACTGGCCCCATACAGCCACTCCATGTCCACGTTCAGAGACCTGGGGGTGGCCAGGATGGAGCAGCAGTATCATCAAAGCCCATGAGCCACATGTCAGACTTTATCTCACTGCATGCACACAACTGTCCCCATTTTTACAGATGAGGACACTGAGGCTTGGCAAGGTGAACCCACGGTCTCAGAGCTGTGGGGATTCTGACTGCAGAGCCCAGGCCCTCTCCTCTCCCCACGATGCCTCTTCATATGGTACTACAACCGCACCTCCCTCCACCAGCCCAGCCCCTCGCAGTTCACAGGGGACTTTCACAGCCTCATCTCCTGCACTACCCATGATCCTCTGAGGCAGAGAGACGGTAACTGGGCGAGGCTATGGGACACAGAGTGGGGCAGAAGTCATCCCTCTCCAGCCTCCAGCGGACAGCGGGGAGTCTGGCCTGACTGGTGCGATCTGCAGATCTGCCGCATGGGGGAGCCCCAGGACTGACAACCAACCACCTGGGGCGGTGAAGCAGGGTGGGTGATGGCTGCCCTCAGAGGGGTCAGCAGCCCCTGTGGCCTGGTCCTCAGATACACACCCAGGAACAGCTGGACCCAAGGTTGGTCATATGCCCCTCTCCTTCTCTCTCATCCGGGCCAGGACCCCCTCAACAACCCAGGGTTGGAGGCAGATGTGTGGGCCACCAGCCTCCCCACCAGCCGTGGCTGAGCCCAGGAAGGCAGGTGCTCCTTGCCAAGTGGGGGAGGAGCGGAGCCAGTCCTTCCACCTCGCTTCCCTTTGGCCCGGATCGCCCCTGCCCTGCCCTCTCCGAGGAGGAAGAGAAACCACTCCCACTCCTAGAAACATCTTTCTCTTCCCAGGCTATCCCAACCATTCCCTTGCTCCTGCCCTGTGGGTGAAATAGGCCAGGAGTCAGTCTCCCATCTCACAGATGAGGAAACTGAGGCCTGGAGAGAGCCAGAGCCTTGCCACGGCCACACAGCCCAATGGTGCTATGGCCAAGACTATGCGCCTCCTGGCTCCCAGCCCAGAGTTTGTCCCTGTACAGGAGTCATTCAGGCCCACTAAGCAGTCACTTGCTATCAAGGAGGAATCTGGGAAAACTTGAATCTGGACCTCCTGGGCCCCCTGCTCCATTGACAGGTGGCTGACCCTGAGCAGGTGAGGCAGGAGGGCAGGTGGCTGGCACAGAGTTGTCCCAGAAGGCCCACCAAGGCTGTGGCAGTGGAGGGCCTGCCCTCTGGCTTTGGCAAGTGCTGTTCCTTCTGCCTGGCCAAACCCTCTCCACTTAAACGTCACTTCCTCTGGGAAGCCTTCCTGGATCCTGGTCAGCTGAGTCCCTGCTGGCCTTGCCCTTGGAATTAGAGGTCTGTCTGGGTCTGTCAGCAGTATGAGGGTGGGAAGCCCCAGCTTCATGGAGGGTCTGCGGGCTGCTGCACTGGGTCCCAGGCACAGAGGTGGAGGGCCAGGCCCCCCGAGTGCCTGGGAGATGCTGTAGGATGATGGGATGCTCCCCCCAGCCCATCTCATGCTGCCTCCTCCCAGGTCAGCTGTGAGCCCTCCCAAGAGGTGGCTCTGGGGAGCAAAGGAAGGGGCACAGGCTGAGGGGGCCTCTGGGCCCCCTGCTTCTGAGCCTCTAGAGCTGGGGGAGGGGACACTGGTAGCAGGGTGCCAAGGCTGGGCCAGGATCAGCTCCCACCTGTGGTTGGGGACAAAGAGCCGGAAGTCGCGGATGTGGGTGGCGTCTTTGGAGAGGATGATGTGGCCGGTGAACTGGCCAGGGCAGAACCAAAAGGGGAAGTCGGGGGGCTCGCTGAGCTGGAACTCGGCGTGGATCCTGTGGGGACGGGATCTGCTCAGCCCAAGCCCCCCTTCTCCCCCAAAGCCTGGGAACCCCAGGCCAGACTCCTGTGTGGGGCAGAGGGCTGGGCAGGGGGGGGCAGATGGTGTGTGGGCCAGTGAGAAGGTACGAGGTCTCCAAATGCTGCCACACTTCAGGGCCCAGTTCACATGCCACCTTCCCAGAAGCCTTGCCTTGACCCTCCCCTGAGCTCCACCGCCTCTCCAGGGCATGTGTGACCCGGTATCCCTGCCCACTCTGTGTGTTTCTCCCCCAAAGCCTGGGAACCCCAGGCCAGACTCCTGTGTGGGGCAGAGGGCTGGGCAGGGGAGGGCAGATGGTGTGTGGGCCAGTGAGAAGGTACGAGGTCTCCAAATGCTGCCACACTTCAGGGCCCAGTTCAAATGCCACCTTCCCAGAAGCCTTGCCTTGACCCTCCCCCTGAGCTCCACCGCCTCTCCAGGGCATGTGTGACCCGGTATCCCTGCCCACTCTGTGTGGACGAGCATCGCAGCCACCAGCCCCGTGCTAAGCAAGTTCCACAGTGTTTCTCACTGAGTCCTCGTGTGCCCTGTAAGGAAGTCATCACCACCCTGATTTACAGATGAGGAAACTGAGGCACAGACAGCCAAAGCTGCTTGCCAGAGACCACAGAGTGGGAGGTGGTGCAGCTGGGTGCTGTATCCTTCCGTGCTGCCCTGGAGTCCCAAGCCTGGGCTGCGAGGACCACTCACCGGAACATCACCGTGTAGTAGAAGTCGCTGATGGCGGTCAGGCAGGCCACAGCCCCCTGAGGGGCAAAGCGGGTCTTTACGAAAGGCCGAGGGTGGAACATGCTCAGGAGCCGGTGGATGATGACCTGGGGAGATGAGAGTAGAGACCCCAGGCTGGCTGGCTGGGCCCTGCTGGGCCTGGATCTGCTGGGTGAGGGTCGGCCCTGACCTGAAGGCCCAGGGGCCCTGGGGGGAGGGTGGTATGTCCAGAAGGAGGCAGGAGAGCAGGTGAGGCAGGCCTGGCACTGGGGTCCAGGTGCAGGTGGGGAGGGGGCCAAGCCTGCGTTGGGCTCAGGGGAGGGGTCCCAGGTCTCACCAGGGCTGCTCTCACCTCCTTGCCCTTGGGTGGCGGTGGGTAGAAGCGGTTGTTGGACAAATAGCCGGTGAAGACGCTCAGCTCACTAGGGATGATCCACCAGGGCTCGCCCAGCTCCTGGCCTTGAGGAGGAAGGAAGGGCTGGAAGTGGCGGGCGGCAAACACTGCACGTGGGGAGGCTGCAGCTGTCCAGTTGCGGAGGCCAGACAAGGTAAGGCGGGAGACCTGGGACAGGGGAAGGCAGAACTCTAGGGCACTGAGAACCACGACTGGTGGTCCCCTCTGCCATGTGTGGGTGGAGGTCTCCCCCAAGCTCTGAGCCAGCCCACAGGCTGAAGGAGCAGAGGGAGCCCATGAGCTCCTGCCCCAGTGCCCCACAAGCTTGGCCCTGGCCTGCGAGAGAGAGGCTCACCTTACCTTCCCCAGCCCCCAGCCCAAGAAGCCCACGTGCCCCCACCAGGTGCAGCCCGCTCAAGGGCAGGAAAGCAGAGGCAGCTGGAGGGGCCACCCAAGACTGGAATGGGGTGCTGCCAGTAGAGCTCTGTGCCTCACATGGTCCTGTCTCCATCCTTTGAATAAGCCAGCAGACCAACCCTAGGTGCCACCGCCCCACCCTGAGCTTCCTCGCCCATTCCACCAGCCTTACTTTCCCGTTCCCTAACCCCTAAGTCTCCTCTTAGGGGCTAATGTCCCACTGACAGGTCAGAGTTTGAGTCTGGAGCTAAGATGGTGAAGGGGGTGAGTAACAATCTTTGGGGGGAAATCTCTAGGGTCAAGAGTGGGATGAGACCACAGAGAAGGGGGAGGAGGACCACCCCCAGAGAGGGCCCTGCCTCAAGTACAGCCTGCCCACACTGGCTGGGCACCCTGGGCAAAGGCATGCCCTAAACCCACTGCCTCATCAGTGACGGCGTCGCCTCTGTCTGATGAGCCCACAGGCAGGGGAGGAGGGTCAGAGAGAGAGGGCTGTCTACGCACCGGCCCGGAGCTCAGAGTGGGACCCTGGAGCATGCGGGGGCCCCTTGTAAAAGATCCACCTTTCGTAGCTCCTCCCTGCCCTTGTGGGGTACAGACAGGAGTGTCCCTGTGAAGCATCAGCCACCATGACCGTGAGCGCCCAGTACCCCTCAGGGGAGCTCAGCCAGCAGGGAGCTGTCCCCACCTTTGATGAGCAGCAGCTTCCCTCTCCCTTCCTCACCTCCATGGTGGCAGCAGCCCAGATGCAGTAGGAGGCAGGAGGTGGAGGAGAGAGGTGCAGGGAGCTCCCACTGAGAGGGATTTGACAGGCAGGTTGTCACAGCAGGGCTGGCTGTGCTGCTCACAGGCTGGCCACCCCCTGCAGGGGAGCTGCCTCTGCTAGGGAGGGCCAGGGCTGGGGTGCTGCTCCTGACCCGTCTCCCCTGTGAGTGCAGGTGTGTCCCAGCCCCACCCCCATTCTCACTGCCCAGCAGGGGACTCATCTGCTCAGACTGGCCCATCACAGCCAAACCCAGCTCCACCCCAGATCTTTCTCTGGAAACTCAAACCTGAGTTTCCAACCATTTACTAGACTCTCCCCCAGCACCTCCATTTTAACATGTCCAAACTAACCTCATTCTCTCCTGACAGACACACTCCCTTCCTACAGTCCCCATCTGGGCCAGTGGCCACTACGCACTTGGTCACCAGCCAGAAGCCTGAGTCACTCTGTCCCCCCTTCCCTCAGCAGCCACGCCCTGGCCTTCCCTTCCTTCCCGGCATCCCCCGGGCTCCCTGACCCTCCATCACCACTGCCTCCCCAGCCCACCTCCTCTCCCTTGGAAACCGGTCTTCTTGCCTCCCCATGCTGCCCATGCCTCGGCCCTCAGTGGCCAGCCTCGAAAGCACCCATCTGATGAGGGCGCTGTGCTACTTAAAAATCTGCTACGGCATTTTGCTGCTGCAGGATAAAGGCCACAGTCAGGCACGAAGGCCCTTGGTGGTCAGGCAACTTCCCCAGCCCCACTGACTGGGCTGCCCCTGCGTGTCTCATGTACCCTGCGTCCAGCCACACCAGCAATCTGGCCTCTGGTGACTGGCCTGGCACCTTCTGCTTTCAGGCCTTTGATCAAGCTGAAGTGGCATTTTGGTTAAGAAGAAAAGGCTGAGTAGGTGTGGGCTGGGCAAAGAGAAAAGTTGTTCCTGGCAGAGGGAACAGAAAACGAGAAGGCTCACAGTCGGCAGAAAGCTGGCAAAGAGAGCATTTGCCTACCTCCCACCTCCTCCTCAGGAACCCTCCCCGCACCACAGCCCCCTGCCAGGGGCTGAAGCTCAGGCCTAGCTCATCAGAGTCCAGCGGAGCACCTGTCAGGTGCCAGGCTCCATGCTAGAGGCCTGAGCGGAAGACAGACGCGCAGAAAGTAACGCTCCTACCTGAGCAGCTGCTTAACAGGGTCTCTGCTGCACTGCTCCAACCGGAACCCTCCTCCTGCTGTGGCTGGGCACCTGGCTGAGCCCTCCTCATCCCGCAGTCTCTATCACTCCCTCCAGAAAGGCAACTCAGATTCCCCCATCTGGGTAGAGGCTTACGCTTATCTCTCCTGCTCCCCTACCAGGCTGTGTGCCTGGACAGCAGGGACAGCACCACACCCACATGGACCCCCAGGGCCTGGCACAGTGGGTGGCGCAGAGAGCAGCTCATAGAGGAAGGAAGGATGAGCAGAAAGCACTGACCCGTCCTCAGGAGGCGAGTGCATGCAGATGACCTGCCCTTTGCGGGGCCACCCATGGGGCCATCCCTACCCCCGACTCACTCCTAGGAACCCGTCTTTGCTCTTGGTCATGGTCTCTGGGAGCAGAGGCTGGAATCTGGCTTCTATGGTGAGCGTCTCCTCGCTGGGGTCGGGGGGTAGCTCTTCCTCATAGCTGGCCGCAGGAGTTGACCCTATGAGACACAGATGGCTGGAGAGACCCTGGCCTTGGGCTGCAGGGACTCATTTCTCTCGGGAAGCCCACACCAGCCGTGATTAAGGGAACCAGGCTTGGAGCCAGGGGTAACAGTTAACAATCACCAAAGTAACAACCAATGCGAATTACATTTTAGTTTCACAATAGCCCTGGAGGCAGATAACATTATTACCAATTCCGTTTTAGGAATGAGAAAGTGGAGGCTAAGAGAGGTGAGGTCACTTCCCCAAGGTCACACAGGTAGGTAGTGGGGGAGTCTGGATTCAAATCCAAGCTTGTTTTATCCTAGACCCACGATCAACCATGACCCTCTTCTGGGGCTTCAGGGACCAAGAGCGACTGAGTCAGGGAATCAGAGTAATGAATGAAAGCAAGAAACCGAGTCAGGCTGTCTTTGGTGCCGCAGAAAGAGCACTGGTTTGGGAGAGAGGAGACGTGCCTCGCACTGCTTTTCTGGGCGGCCTGTTTCCCGTCTGTGTAAGGAGGGGCTGGATGGGCAATGGCTGAACTTGACTTCTCAGATCTCGTCCTGCTCAGAGACCTGCCAAGTCTGTAATCTTTTGAGTGTGGAGGGAGTCATTATGAAGGTTTACCTATAATGGAGTAAAGCAGGGGTGGGTCTTGTCCTGTCTGCTCTCCCAGGGCAGGCTCGTGGCACAGAGTCGATGCCTGGAATTTGTGGGCTGCCTGGCTGGCAGAGTGAATGTGTGCATTAAAGTCGTTCTCAGCCAGAAGTCATCAGAATCACCCAAACCAGATGGCCTTTAAGCTGCAGATGCCCAGAACCCACCTCAGACCTACCAAGCAGAATCTTAAGAGGCTAGAATCAGGAAACTGCTCTTTTAATTAGCACTCTCCAGCCACTCCTGATACCAGTCCTGTTCTAAAGATCACTGCTATTTCTGCATTTGTAAGTCAAAGCAGCAAAACACCGCTCTGGAGACCTCAGAGGAAGGGAGGAATAGGAATAAGAGTTATTAGTGCACCTGCTCATTCACTTATTTTACTGGTATCATAGATAATTATTAATAATCGTGCTCAGCATTTGATAGCCCTTTGGTTTTTTAATAAAAAGTTTTAGTTCCTGACTTATAAATAACACTCGCTCATTATAAACAATTTGTAATTTTTTAAGGTATAAAGCAGAACGTTAAACATACTTGTAACTCTATTAACTAGAGAGAACTGTTCACCTCTATTTCCTGCTCAAATTTGATTTTTTTCCCCTTTGATTTCCCAAAACTTAGTCCATTTTTTCACACACAGCCTAGAGGTAATGGAGGGATTCTTTTCTCCTGATGGAGAAAAAGATTTATGTGAAAACAATTAAAAGTGCCCCCGAGCCCAGCAAGCTTTGCTAACATGTCATTATGAGGGAACTCTCACTCTCAGACCATAAAAAAGGACAAGCAGGTGGAGTGTATGCAAAAAAAGAGGTAAAAGCAAAGCCACAAGGGGATGACCATTTATCTGTGCATCTGCTTTCATGACAGAACCGCCTGCCACCAAGAGACACTGATACACATGGGCTCCAGCAAATTGCATTTTTCATCTCATCTACTTCCTCTAGCAGTGACCACACGTCACCAGGCCAGCAAGTGGCCAACATACGCAACCCATCCCTGAAAATCACAAAGCCCATGACAGTGCTTTGGTGCTTCGGTACCCGAGAGCACCCACCATCTCTTCCTTGCTTTTCCCATCTATTGACTGACTTATACCATGCAATGTGGGAAACACTTAGGTGTCTAAGATCATGAGTTCGAGAAATGTCACAAGAAGTTGGAGGGAATGAAAAAAAAAGTTGTTGGGAAATAGACACAAGTAGGGGGGAGGGGTAAAGCATTTTACAATTCATTAGAACGTTTCAGCCCCTCATCCTTACTTAAAAAAAAAAAAAAAACAATCACTGATTACAGCCGGGCAAACATGGATAGCAGCAATGGGATAGGAATCTGATCTGACAGCACCTAAACAGAGTTTCCAAGTAGGGGGGAGGGGTAAAGCATTTTACAATTCATTAGAACGTTTCAGCCCCTCATCCTTATTTAAAAAAAAAAAAAAACAATCACTGATTACAGCCAGGCAAACATGGATAGCAGCAATGGGATAGGAATCTGATCTGACAGCACCTAAACAGAGTTTCAGATTCAGAGATAATAGTAATGGCCCCTGCCTATTGAATGTCTCCTGCAGGTTGGTCATTTTGCACACATTTTCTCTAATCCTCAAACCCTGAAGCCAGGTGGCCCAGTTCTAACCCTGGCTCTCCACCTTTCTAGCTTGGGCGAGTTAGCGAACCTGCCTGTTCCTTCATGTCCCAGACTATAAGCATCAGGATCATGGTAGTGTCCATCTCACAGGGCTCTTGTGAGGTTTAAAGAAGAGGACCCACGTGAAGTGCTGAAAGTGGTGTCGGCACCAAGGAGGTGGGGAAGGAAGGTTAATTATTACTGACAAACATGAGAAAAACAGGCTCAGGGGGTGCAGAAGCAGCTCACTGGCTCGAAAGTGTCCGAGCTGGGAGGACCCCAGAGCCACTGAAACCCACAATCTTCCTTTCACTCCAGGCTGCCGCCCCCACTCAGTGCAGACACAGCAGACAGACACCCTCATCCCCAGTCCCCTGCCTCTCCTGGTACCTGTCAGCTTCTCAGCAATAGGTTTGAACTCCTCAGGGCTGATGTACATATCCCGGTCAGTGTCCAAGGAGGAAAAGAGAAAGAGGCCTTCTGTCCCCAGGGCCTTCAGCGCCGATTCCTACTTGGGAGGAGGGGGCTGGGCTGAGCATCTCCCAGTCCCCCGCACAGGCAGCTGCTTCTGTTCCTACAGCCGCTGCCTTCTCCTGTCTCGCCTCCCCCCTGTTCCAGCGCTCCCCAGTCCCCCTTCCAGGTCCTGCTGGTCCCAGTTTCACTATATGTCTTCACCTGCTGTCCACTGTCCAAGTCGCCCCTTTGACTGTCCCACTCCAGTCTGTCCCAGCCCCTGCCTCACACTGGGCCAGTCCTTTCACCTGCTCCCCATCAATCCTTCCAAATCTGCCCGGCCCCTGGGACCCCCTTCCCTCTCGATTCCATGCTCCCTCCACGGCTCGCCGACCCCCTCCTGCCCACCTTCTGTCCCCGTCCCCTCACCCTAACTCGTCCCTCCCGGTTCCCCGCACTCCGTCCGTCTCCCTCCCCGCCGCCCTCCAAGCCGATGCTCGGACCTTCCATCCCCCACCCGGGGCCCACCCCGGAGCCCGGTCCCCGCGAGCCCAGCCGCGCCGGCCCTCGCCCGCCGTCC